ACTGTAGATCCCTCCAAAGACGGAACCCACAATTGTGAAGAGAAGGTCTAAATAAATATAATATTATAAAAATAAATTTCAGTCAGCTTTCAGTTGAGTCATCACACTTTTGCGATTTTGGCTCTAAACTCGTATATTTTTGTTTTAATTCTTTTCATAGAAATAAAAATATTCATGCCATCTATTTTTTGATAGCCATTTAAATATAAAAATATAAATAAATTTTTTTAAAATTGTCAGCACCACGGCAACGTCATTATATGATAATAGTAAAAGAGAGCTGAAAACTGCAAACTGAAAATTTAAAATAAACAAAATCTTTATGACGAAATCATTGATATTCGTGATAGTGGCAAAATAAAGCGGCACTAAAAAATTTTTATAGCAAAATTTATGTCGAAACCATATGCGAAAATGCATGTGAATAAACAATATGGGGAATATATAAAAGTGTAGTACAGAAGGAAATACATGCGAAAGTTCTAATACGTATATATGTATCTTTCAAAGTACAAAAGTGCAATAGACTCGCTGGTAGTGCAAGCACCCAACCTAACACCCAAGTACAATACTTATATATGTGAGGGAAGCCAAGAAAATGGTGAATTCTAAAAGTTTAAGTTGAAAATAAAGAATACCTGCAGCATGTGTGTAGAGCTTACTCACATATGTATATACATGTATGCAAGGACTCACCATAAAATCAAGGCAATACTCATATGAACCTCATACAACTTAGCTCACCTCAATACTACGCTCGACAGCAGTTCATTCAGAAAAAAACTCTTAAAAGTAGTACAGTGTGAGGAAAAGTCAGCGGTAGCACTCCAGTAAGGTTGCATTCTCGCTCAACAAAAAAAAAAAGAGCGCCAAGCAGTAAATGTATTTATGTACAGCTTGAATGTATAGACAATCGAAAAAGTGCATTGTTTGCATTAAACATTTTACAACAATTGCTGTTGTTACTACTTTTGCTTACCACTTGTACGCTTCTCTTCAAATCAAATAAACCTGCGGCAATAGCAGAGGAATATTGCTACAAAGACAATACACTTGCACTTTTATGCATTTGTAGTGATTGTTTTGTTGAACTCACTTCTTGGATTCTACACACCCACACGCACATGAATTCTTGAAACTGTACTTTGAGTTCTCTTGGCTTCTCGCTTTGTGATACTTTTTTTTATATTTTATATTTTTTTTTTATATTTAAACAGTGATTGCTTGCATTATTTTTAGTATCCTTTGAGTGCTTTCGTGTGCTTGAAAATGAAAATAAGTAGTATAATTTAATATCAATTTGCGATATAAAGGAAAGGAAAATGGAAAAGAGTTAGTATGAAATAATATAAAAGTAAGGCAGACAATGTAGAAAAACGTTTTTTGGGTCCGTGAAAAAAATATAAAAAATATATATACTCACTTCGCATATCATAGCTTGACATCTTAAACGATTAAAGCGATTTTTCTCTTTAAAATGCTTTACTTTACCATCAAGAAACTCCAATTTCTTTAAATTCGTTGTTTGAAAAATTTGAAATCAAATCTTTCACTTTGAGAAAATAAAAAATGGGAAATTTTTGTCTCAAAATAATAGTGTAAATCAAATTTACATATTATAGCTTCTATACTTTAGGCTGATAGTTGTTGTGTTTGCCTGTTGTGATACCAATGTTGGGGCTGTGAAAAAAATCTTTCTCACCTCAAACAAACACAGAATAAAGCAAAAGGAGTTGTTATTTCAGAGAAGTCACGCTGAAGGCTGGACAATAGCAGATATTGACCCACCGACCTTTTATCGTCTATGGCTCGGTAGCTGCGACAGAAGTTGTTATAGTTGTAACCCATTCTCTTACCATGCATCATCGGGAGACATTGTTCGATTATAACGTCAGTTATAATGCTTATAGAGGTATATTTTGAAAGCAGTAAAATAATTTGTCTTTCTTATCTTCAATCAATGCAAAGAACTTTTATGTCACATTGCATGTGATTCCTTTCCATCAACTATTAATGGATCTGCTGGTGTTTGCCTCGAGTTTAGTAGGCATTTTGCCTATCATACAAATTTTTTTTCTGTTAGAACGGTTCTTCCCTTAGTCAGCACTGTTCTTTAGCATGACGGTATTTCCTAGGAATGATGGTTTGAGAGACTTAATGACTGCTTGGCTAGTGACACTGTCTGGGCTCCGAAATCCACCTTACTATCAGAATTTCAGCGGTACGTAAAATTGGCTGTGCATCTCAAACTGTCCCAAGTGGTTTTCCTACAAGTAGAAGGCAGCGCCCCGGTAATTAAGATCGAGTCTACCCGTTGAAATCTTTCCATATTTTTAATAATGTAATTTAAGACAGCATAAATTTCTCATAATAATTCCTCAAATACCATCTATAAAAATGTGTCAAGAGTGAATGCTGGTACAGCGCAAGAGAATGCTCCTTACCTATATATTATGCATATCAGGTGAATGCGATGGACATTCGGTGGTAATTGTTGGATTATTGAGCATGAATTCGCTTGATAACCTCCTGAGATGGTCACATGGCTCACATCTGGTCTTTCCAAACACCAAATAATGCTCAGAAAATTTTTATATTGAGGACAGATCAAAAAAAGGCAAATCATGTACCACATCTGGAACGCCTACACCAATAAAGAGGAAGAGCTGAGCAGTTCTACATTTCGACGTTAACAAACTCTTGTTTTTCTTGACTCGAAAAATTTCCTTGCTTCTTGCGGTTGGCGCCCGAGGGTTACCTTAGAAATTATTATTATAAAAAAGATTAATAATAAACAGAAGTTAAACTTTTTGATATTAATTAGTAAGAAATATTATAATAAAAATGAATTTCCTAACTTCTGTTAAGGAGATTTCGAAGTCCTTAAGCATAAACACCATATTTGTGAGATTAAACTGCAGCAAAAGTTTCTTAAACAAAATCTCTTCCAAAAAAATTGATTCGAACATATACAGCGTCCTTGAATTCCTCCAACAGAAACATCTAAATTGAATCTTTTCATACAAGAGCTATTTCTTCGAGCAATGTAAGCAATTCTTGTTTTGGGTTGCCAGAAAATGAAGGAGGCAATTGCTTGAGTAAGAAGAAAATCGAAAGAAAAACTCGTACTTATGAATTCCAAGCACATTCCAGCGCAGCTGTGAAGCTACAGGTTCCTTTTTTCGAAGTCAAGCAAGGACAACAGTAAGAACTAAAGAACTTTTCGAATATTTTCATATGGAGCTAATCAAAGGAAAGAAAAAGGAAAAATATCTTAAGGGGAACAAAAATGCGGAAGAGCTTTGATCGAAATTTTAAAAGGCGCGGCGGTTTTGTCAAAAGTAAATAAAAAAAAGGAGATCGAGGTCGATTGAAAAGTTATGATGTGCATGTGGCAACTGATTTAATAAGGTTAAACATAAATATAAATTTTATAAACAAGATATTTTTTGTCAGTTTTCGACGACTTTTTGCACGAAATCAATTTTGAAAATATTATTCTTCAAACATTAATAGAACGTATGTGAGGCATTTGACTATACAGCTGTATTTTTTAGAAATAAACCTTAGTGGGTAGCTCGTGAGGCCTTTGATTACATGTATTTTGATTTTACTTCAAGTGAAATTTTGTAACGGGGAAATGTTCTTTTGGTGGAGAATTTTGGATGTTCGAAAATCTACATAGCATACGTGCACTTAAATTTCGACCCAGAGGAGCAAATGTTTGCGTTCTAAGAGGGTTTTGCAATGTTCGAAAATCTTCGAACAATGTTCGAATTTTTTTCGTAACAAAAATTTAACATAGGTTAGGAAATTTTTTAAGGGGAATTAACGAACACGTACAACATATTGTTGAAACTTCGAAAATTCGAACATGCTCCTAATTGCGTTTGGAGCATAAGAAATGAGAGTCGAGAATAATATAAATAATTTCACACAATTTCGAAAGCACTCAGTAGATCAAGCCACGCTCATAACCTATTTAAATTTGAGTAGATTTTTAGGAGAGCACAAAAACAACGAGAGCGAAGTAACGACAATTTGTATATTTTCATCGCTGCAGCACGTGTTGCACAAAAACGTGCTCAAGTCAGTCAAATATATAAAAACAAAATACACTCAATTGATAAGTATGGTAGTAAGAGCAATCAAGCCAATACTCGGTTAAGTTGTGTACTATTGGCGGTGGCGCGGTGGCAGTGCCACAATGGTGGTGGTTGGAGTGGTCATGGTGTTTCGCTTTAGTATTGGTATTGCTTATATCGCTAGCTGTATTTTTACTTAATTTGGGGGTGGGTTTATTTGTGGATACGGAAGTATCACAGGGATAACACTAGACGACACGTGAGTTGTTGAGCTGAGCATAAGAGTTGTTTAAATGTGGAGAGAGCGACATAGCGGTCACAGTTGTTGTGTGTAACGGTAGAGTATTGGATATTGTAGGTACTTATGAGTAGTTACTTGCCGTGTGTTATATGGACTTGAGTATTAGGTACAATTGGTAGCGATGATGGGAATGATGGTGGTGGTTTTGTGATGAATACTCACACATACAAACACACCTCACACACTGTCTAGCGTCACATTGCCTGACAGTCATACTGTCTATTTATTTTATTGGCTCGAATTGCTTGGGTTTCTTGTTGCATGTTTGTAAATACATATTTATGTACATAGATGTACTTGGGTTTCGAGCAGCATTTTTGTGGGTTACAGCATGAATGTCATGCGATACGTGCAACAGTCGATCGTGAACTGTGTAGCAAGTCACACAAATTGATAGCGTAGTTTATACGGAAGTCTACATTAGCACCCTCAACGCAAGGACACAAATTGACGTAATATTCCGGGTATAAATACGAGTGCCTTCAGTGCTGGCGCTTTAGTACGACAAGCGACACGCTGCCGAGTAGACGCAACGAACGCTTGAAGCGAAATCAAAGGACAAGGAAGTGTGTGTGTTTTTGGTGTAAAACGAATGTTGAAAAATACGAAATTTTTTACGACAAAACTTTTTTTCGAGTAAGAAATTTTTTAAAAATTTTTTAAAATTAAAATAATTGCTTGCAATATGGCCATACCTTTCTACGAGCCACGTCAGCAAGCAGCAAGTGAGTGCGATCAAGTTGATGGTCATTTTCCGCCAGCGCCCAGCAGTCCAGCCATACCATTGCCGACGGCAAATTTTCAAAGTGCTGCAAATGCCAATCAAACGCCGCCGGTCGCAAGGTCTTGCACCACAACAGCAAATATGTCTACAGCGACGGTTAGTTTAAGTGCATCTACAGCTACACGAACTCCGTCTACAGTTTCAAGAACTTCTACAATTACAACTGCTCAAGTTACAAATTCCAGCATAACAGCCAACACTTCTGGCTCATCGACGCATGTCTCAGCTGACCCTTCGAACTCCACAACCGCATTTACAATTCCTTCAGATAATCATCCAATTTCGGCCGCTTCCTTTTCGCCTAATTCAGCCAACACGGAAACTACTCAAACTACATTTTCGACTGCTGCATCCTCAACGTCGCCGGAGCCTCTACCTTGGAAGCTACTTGCTGTATCCATGTGTAAAGCTTTAAAACAATATTATGAACAAACAAATTCACCAGATGTATTCACCACAGCCATTATTGAAATATTGCCAACTGGCTCACCAACGCAGTCCTCAGCCGCCGGCAATTAGACAGTCGCTCTTATTTTATGAAGAAGTTACTAAAATTTTTGGTTCCTGGTAAAAAGAATGCAAATATATTAGAGACGTCCAGTGTAGGAGTCATATGTGTTAAAGCTCCGATAAAGCGCTAATGTGATTATGAGCAACTCCGACGGTGTGATGAATTTCCAAAATCTTTGTAAGGCCGACGGCAGATGCATACTTAACGGCGTTTGGCGACGGTATTTTAATGGAGATGAAAATTGTATTGCAATAATGTGTGTGAGAGATAAGCGTAATTGTGATAGCGTTTGTAATTTAAGTCAACAAGTCAGTTTCATAGATTTAGCCCAAAATAAGAGATATAAATAAGTATTAAAAATTTTTTTGAGTTAGCATAATTTCCATCGATTTCTTAATTAAAATACGTTTAATAGTAAAATTGCCACTCAAAATCGAAATTAATTATTATATTTAAAATTTGTAAAGAGTATTTATTTTAAGTTTTACTCATGGATTAAATTTATTCATCAAAATGGACATCTATAATATTATGTACAGATTCACTCAAGAATATAAATTGAATAGCATAATAAATCTTAAATATAGTAATCCGCCATAAAATATATTGGATTCAGAAAAATTAAAAAAATGTTAATTTAATTAAATTTCAATTATTTAATTCGTCAAAACAAATTTGACTGTATTTAAATAATATAGAAACTATGTTAAAGACACTTAACAGCCAACTGAAATAATTTACTTTTTCTATGCTCACTAATGAAATTATGAGGAAAATTATTTTTATGAATAATTTCTTGTTTAAAAAATATTTATAAAAAATATTATGTTATTCATAAAAGTATTTTTCCTCATAGTTTCCTGTTTAAAAAAATATTTTAACCAGCACTCAATTCCAAATATGTAAAATTTTGGTTTTCGAAAGCAAACAGATAAAGTTGATGGCCTAGAAATTGTATTTATATAAAAGTTCTTTCAAATAAGGCTTCTTTGATTAATTTTCCTAAAGCTTCAATGTTTTCAATTCAAATACATATTTTGAAGAAAAAAATTAAATCTACATAAATATTTTGATGAAAGCTACCCATATTTAAAATTCGAGTTTTTAATTAAAAAAATAATCTTTTTTTCTCCTCAAATGATTTACTTTTAATTTCCTCATCGTGATACTTTATAAATCAAAGGCAAACACATACAAAAAATATAAAAATTTAAAATTTTATTTTATGAAATTTTGGTAATTGAGAAATATAATTTATTTAACAAAAAAAAATAAAAATGCTTTTTAATGTTCCATTATCAATAACTAATTTTTAAGTTCAATTTTAATTTAATTTTTTTTTCTTTATTTTAATTACTTTTTGGTTTTGCAGAAAACCAGTTTTATTTCAAAAAAATGATTACCCTTCAGATCTCGTAAACTGTGGCAGGAAAAGAAAAAATAATTTATTTTTAAAATTACTTCTTTAATAACTTCCAAAAAAAAAATTGGTACATAAATATTTTTGTAATTTTCAATTCATTGAATTCTACTCACTTTGAATATCTAAAATTCAAATTATTGCTTGCAACAGTTTCATTAAAAATTTATTTTCTCAGTATTTTATTCTATGTATTTTTTATTAATTCTCACAGCGAAATTCATTTTAAGCCAAGGATAGAAAAAAATAATTTATTTTCTGAGTTTAAAATATTAAATAAACAAACCGTAACATAACTTTCTCGAAATCCTTGTAGTAGAAGAATAAAAAAATTGGATTTGTTACTGAAAAAAGACTCATAAGAAATTGATCAAGAATTTTCTTCAAAACGAAATATAAACTTATTTGTCATTTTTGTTAATTTAAAAATTTTGTAATAAAGAATTGCGTAGAACAATTCGTATACAATACTAAAACTTTTGAGCGAAGAAACTTAAAAAATATATTTTTGTACTTAATTATTAATTCGTCTTAATTTTCTCTGCTTTTCCTTTCAATTTTAAAAATATTTTTGATAAATTAATACAAATTCACATTAAAAAATTCAAAACTTATTACCCAAGGAATTTCCAAAACGGTAGAGAAATATATTTTTTAACGAGCAAAATTAGTATCTCAATCAAAACTGCTTAACATTTAAATATTAAATTTGTAATTTTTTGACAACTCTTTATTAAAATAAAAATTAAAAATTAAAACTATTTCATGTCAATTTTATTTTAAAATTTTTAGTTATTAATTTTATTATTCAATTTTAGATTTATTAATTTTTATTATTATTGAAAATTAATGCAACCAAAGTCTAATTAAATTAAAAAAGAATAAAATAAATTACTTATTCAAAAAAAAAAAAAAAAAAAAAACCTTAGCGCCACTGAAGTTCGGGCTTGAGTGTGAAAGGAATTAATTTTTTAAGAAAAATATTTAAAAAAAAATTTATAAGAATAAGAGAGATAAATTGATATTTCAGAAAATTCGTTATTTTTATTATAATTTTATATAAAATTTTAAATTTAAAATTTGGTGCAATTTTTTTTTAGTGAATTTATGTAGGCAGACACTCTTATGCATAGCAAAAAATATATTTACAAGCTCTAGGGCTTGAGTTGATAATAACCCAAATATTGTGCGACAATTTGGAATTAAAAAATGCTAAAATTTCGTTTAGAAACAAAATTATGCTCCTTTTACGTTCGAGGCAGAATTTTTTTAATTCAATTTTTTGCTTGATTTGGATAATTTTTCTTGGGAACTGTTGTTTTTAAATTTGAATATTAAAGTGGAGTTCAATGTTTTGAAGAAAAAAAATTAACAAAAATATTATAGCAAAAAATCCACTTGCTTAAGCCGCTGCTCGATTGAAACATTTGCTAGAAACTTTTTGGCTAAAGTATCAAATAAATTTTAATTTATATTATCAGTTTAACTTTAAGTAAAAATATTTTCACGAGTTTGGTTCTCAAATTAATTAAAAAATAAATTCAAAAGTTTATGAAAAAAATGCATGTTGAATACATATTATATATATACTTGACTAAATTTTAATGGTTTTCTATGAAAATTTCTATCAAATATTAAACAAAATTAGTAAGAATCTCTTTAAAAGCACATTTTAAACTTCGAAACTAAAGAACTCCATACCAAAATTACGGAAAAGTTATATGCAAATTATATACATATTTACAATATTGAGAGAAAAAAATTAGCACTCAAGTATACATATACAATACTTAAAAACTTTTTACAACTTCTTGGTGTCTATTTATTATAAACTTTATATACTATAGCTATAAATACATATATACAACCATAATTATACAATACATATACCTACATAACTATGTATATGTTAATTAAAAAGTAAAAGATTTACTTGAGAAACACAAGGAAAAATTAAAATTTTCAACTGGATCCGAAGAATTAAATTTCACATATATATACTTATATATATATATATTTAAGAAGCGAAGAATATTAAAACAATTTTATAAATTATACTACAAATTTACCAAACGCTTTTTATATACAAACTCAAACGAAGTAAAGCTTCGAGATATTTTTGTATTTATTTTGCCATGTAGAGTATGTCTAAATGTCTGTGTGTCGCGTTTCATTTTTAAATGGTTAAAAAAGTAAGATTTTATAAATAAAAAGAAATTTTAACAATTTTCCCAGCATGCATATTGTCTGAGGATTGAACATTGTTAATTGAGCAGAACAAAGTACAATATAAAGTAGAAATTGCAATTAGCTATTAATAGATTTTTCGATAATATATACACATAAATATTAATATTTTAGCATATACATAATTACATGAAAACATATATACAATTATTGAAGGTAAAATGCAAAATATGCAATTAACTACGGAAAACAAGCAACGATAATTTGAAATAAATTAAAATAAAATAAAATATTACATTAAACAATATAAAATATGTTTTTTTTTCCTCAATTAAAATACAATAAGTTTAAAATATTTTTAATTTAAACTTTTGAAATATTCAAATATTTTTCTTCATTAGGGTGAGACAAGCGAAAATTGTAAAAAATATGAGAACACTACGATTTAAGGTTAAAGTTCTCTCTCTCTCTCTTTTCGAATTTTTTGACTGGTAAGTACAGTTTTCAGGATACAGTTTTTTTCAGTTAAATCAATTCTTCACCAGCCAAAACATCCGCCATTAACATAAACAGCAGCTAATCACTTAGCCCAAAATCCGAGCTGTAAGGTGGATATATTGATAAGAACCTCTCAACCAAGTTTCGGAACTCCTGGCGCGTTACTAACGATGTGTGTGGTCTGGCGTTATCCCGAAGCTAGCCAAAGCTCGATGCTTCTGGACATTATTTCCATCAAACGATCAATAGTACATGAGTTGTTGCTAACAGTACAGTTTCGAATTGAGTTTTTAACCATAAGGGAGCAGCTCAAAGTGAATGATTCTTTACCAAACCCACCAGGCACAAAACAAAGCCTTCCTTTAAAACCCTCAATACTGGTTTGGATACCGCTTGTGTAAACTCACCGCCCTATGACCACGACCGTTTTCCTACCATCTATATCATCTACATCATTTTCATCCAACCACTCTCGGTCAAGCCTAAACGCGAAGAATGCAAAACTTAATTCGTGCACAGGCACCACTTAGATGATAATAGCCGAGTTAATAATAACACGACAGTCTTTTTTTACTGTTCGGCGCCAAACAGAGATGATCCGTCTCACTGATCTTCTTTTTCCTCTCACTAGCGGATTAAGCTGAGTTAAGTTGATGCTGCTGTTGGTCAGCAGCTGACAATTATTGTCAAATTGCTGGGAGATTTCTAGAATCATCTTAAATACTTGCAAGTCAATCAAAAAAGTATTTCCTAATGTTTTTGTGGCATTCAGTTATTAAGGCTGGCCTTTTTAATTTCATCTCTGCAATTGCGATAAGAATCTGTAGCCACGAAGTCCTCTACTGCTTGCAATGTGACTGTTGGGGCATCCTTCGTCGTTCTCTGTCCAATCCTGGTTATATTTTTCTGATCACTTTGCACATAATCTCATCCAATCAGCTGATTTTCGGTTCCTTATCGATGGTTAATTTTAGCATGTATTCCGCCTTGTGCTAAGACATCCCTGCCGTGTGCATAATTTATTATGGTTGGAAAAGGTTTCCAGCTTTCCAAACCATTGTCGGTAAAGTCTCTGTATTTGAACACTTAAACCGAGGCTATGTTGCAATTATTGAAAAATCTGTTCAGCGCATAACATTGAGTCGCCTTTTTGATGTCTTATAATTTCATTGTAAAGATCTAAAGGCACCTCGGCTGTCAGAATATATTCTAATTGAAATTTGTGATTTCACG